TCCGAGCAAGTTTATGGTACGCCGCTGGGACCAACTCCAAAATCTGCACAAGAAGTGCAGAGTGTAGTATGAGTACAACTAACCCCATGTACTCCGTAAGTATCGAGCCTAACCTTGATGAAGTAGTGACGAGGCTATGACAAGACACGTACGTAAACAACATGTACAAGTATCTACAAATACGAAGCAACAATAACACAATAAATAACAATTTATAAATTTGGGAGGGAACATGCGAAGGGGAATGATATAGAAATTTCGGCAGAAGAAGTGTCACATAGCAGCCAATTAATTCATCAATAATAAAATGAGCAGCTGATAATATGAAAATGGCACGGCACCACCCTTCGGGTTCCCAATTCCTACAAGGATTATCCATAGAATTTACTATGGGATCCATGAAGAGAAACTTCGGGTATATGACAAAGACTAGAGCAATATTTCCAGTCAATTGGTTAATGGATAACCTTCAATTGCAAACTCATTCCATTTTAGGAGGATTAACAGAAAATGAATCCTTATTTTTATGAAACAAGAAAGGGAGTCTTAGCCCCACAATACAGACACACAAAATTTGAGCATATGTTTCGTCGTGTGAAACAATTTTCGCTTACATTGGTTTTGATTATTTGCTAATGTTTTGAGCACTTATTTACTAGAAAAAACAATGGTAGGACAGATTTAGCCTCAACAATTGAAATTTTATCACTTGGCTTGACGCAGTTTATTAAAGAGAAGGGGCTATAGGTACCTACAAGAAACTAGAAGGGAGTAGTTTGTAAATAAGAGAAATTACAGAACTTGTAATTTGATATAAAGAGATCACACGGATCTCATTTCAAAGATCATAACAGAATAAACAGAAAATTATCTAGAATCTTCTCTCTCTTCTCTCTTGTTCTCTCTTCCTTTCTCTCCTCGATTTCACTGTTTCATTGTCGATGATTCATTGCATGTATGAAGTTTTGATGTAGCTAGCTCAATCTAGCTCAGTTAACATGGTATCAAAGCCACGATCTCAATTCTAGGGCTCAGATTCGAAGTTTGGACGAAAGAGGTGGAATTACTCTGAAATTAGGGGTTTGCGATTTTTCGATTTAGGCAGACATGGCTGGAAACGAAGTGACCTTGCTAGAGCACAATCATCCATCATAGTCATCTTCACTCCCTTCGTTTTCCTCCTCAGACAGAGATCGCATATCGGGAGGAATAATGGCCAATGGCTCAACTTAGAAATGAGGAGAGGGAGCGGGATCAGTACTGACTTGGGGTTCTTTAGAAGAATAGGGAGTTTCATCCCAAGTAGGAGCATAGTGCTCCTCTTGTGTGGAGGGATCAGGTCCCTCAGGAAGTTCCCCAGTAGTACTGTTTGGTGCCAGATTTTTGACAGGCACCAGTTCCCTTCCCTCGACCTATGTACCATTATCTTCCCCCTGAAACTCAGACACACCCTCAGCAGCAAATGAAAGCATATTTTCTATAGCTTCATATTCTTGTAACTCCAAAGTAACTTCAAAAGGCATAAGAGGATCATTACCTGTAGGATCCAAGTCTGGGGCTGCCATTGTCGATTCATCACTAGTATGACCCACACATTGTTCTTTAGCAGAACTTTCTTCCATTGGTAGATTAGAAATTTCTTGATTTTCTTCTCCATCTACTGTGTCTTCGTCAACCATCTTTTCCGGCGAGGCAGAAGTAGAGGTCACCGCCACAAATTCCTGGGAGTCAATGTTTTGCGACTCTGATGAGAACCAGAACTCGACTGGGTTGGAGAGGAAGTAGAGGGTGGTTGTGACTCTAGATTAGGGTTTGGACTAGTCGTAACAGGGAGTGTGGGCTCTATCACCGGTGTTTCAATGGATGAGGACACAGTGGAGACGATGCTTGGAACATTTTGTGTTTCCTGATTGTCAGACATGGTGGAGTGTAGTTAGTTGAAGAAGAGAGTTTGAAGAAGGGAAAAAGGGGAATTTTGGATTCGTGATATGAACAGTTCTGAAAGTGACTGTGAGTGGATTTATTTGAGAGGAGTTAGAGACCGGTTGGGTATCAATTTTGGGTATTCGGGTCGCTTCATAAAGGGTGAGACGCTTTGATTCAAGAAGCAAAAAGAAACTGACAATATAATGACGTGGCATCGTTTCAGCCATTTAAAAAATTATGCATGAGAGTACAGAGGAGATACTAACCTGTGTCAAAGGAACCAGGTTCCCTGACAGAGTTTGAAAATGTAAGCCTTATCCTTTGACCAACGTGCAATGCATTAGCTACTTGTCTGCTCTGTAATCGTCATGCGTGTCTACCTGTAACGGTATAGAGGTAAGTTAGACTTTGCCAGAAAACACTTTTTAGCTATTTTACCTGTATATTTCTTTCATAGCCAATCATCGAGGGACCAGGTCCCTAGCTAGACTTCATCAACCCTAGTGCCAAGCGATTCTTTTCAAAGTGCTCTCTGCTCAGTGCTTTAGTGAAGATATCTACAATTTGATCTTCTGTGCTACAAAACTTCATGCAGATGAGCCCTTTCTCAACATTGTCTCGAAAATTTCTAGCTGCTGCTTGATCCACAACAGTTGAGCACAGCAAGAGGCAGCTGCCACATACTCAACTTCAGCAGTTAAAAGGGCCATTGAGTTTTATTTTCTTGTGCCCCATGAGATTAGACACAAACCTAGAAAATGTGCCATACCAGAAGTGCTTTTCCCATCCACCAGATAACCAGCATAGTCAGCATCAACTTACCCTATTAAGTCAAAGTTATCTCTTGAGGGATAGTAGAGAACCAGGTCCCACGTTCCTTTGAGATACCTCAGAATCTTCTTTGCAGCCTTCAGATGAGGCTACTTTGGATTGGATTGAAACCTGGAACAGAGTCCCACACAGAAAACAATGTCTGGTTTACTTGCTGTAAGATACAGAAGTGACCCAATAATGCCTCTATACATAGTCTCGTTTACAGGAGAACAAGGTTCATCCATATCCAGGTGAGTGGCAGTGGCAATAGGTGTATCAATGATCTTTGAACTCTCCATCTCAAATCTCTTCAGAAGCTCTTTGATGTACTTCTACTGATTTATCATTGTGCCCTTAGAAGTTTGCTTGACTTGCAAACCCAAGAAGAAATTCAATTCTCCCATCATGCTCATTTCAAACTCGATTCCCATGAGCGTTGCAAACTCTTCACACAGAGAGTCATTTGTTGCACCAAAGATGATGTAGTCAACATAAACTTGCACAATGAGAAGGTTCCTCCCGCGTTTCTTCAGAAATAGAGTGTTGTCAATTTTCCCTCTTGTAAAGCCATTTTCTAGAAGAAACTTGGACAGCCTTTCATACCATGCATGAGGAGCCTGCTTCAGTCCATATAATGCCTTGTCAAGTTTAAACACGTGCTCGGAATGCTCATGGCACTCGAAACCAGGTGGTTGCTTGACGAAGACTTCTTCTTTTAGAAAGCCATTCAGAAGAGCACTTTTGACATCCATTTGGAACAATTTGAATTCCATATAAGACGCAAAGGCAATAAGAATTCTTATGGCCTCCATTCGAGCAACTGGAGCAAAAGTTTCATCATAGTCAATCCCTTCTTCCTGATTGTAGCCTTGAACTACTAGCATTGCCTTGTTCCTTGTTGTTTTTCCAAACTCATCAAGTTTGTTTCTGAATACCAACCTGGTTCATATAATAGTTCTGTCAGCGGGTCGAGGAACCAGGTTCCACACGATGTTTCTCTCAAATTGATGAGGTTCATCTTGCATAGCAGTAATCTAGTCAGCATCCTTCAATGCTTCCTTGATATTTTTTAGAACAATACATTTGCAGCCAAATGTCCTCAAATGTGTTAGCTTGGGCTTCCTTCCGTTCGGCAGTTCATACGGGATTTTGTTCAGGAAGGACCTGATCATGCACCTGTTCACCAAGTAGCACGCAGTGTTGACTGCTTCTGCCCAGAAATTCTTTGCAATGCCACTGTCAATCAACATTGTTCTTGACATGTCTTCAAGAGTCCTATTCTTCCTACTCCTTGAATGTATCCCTTTTTGCCATTTTCAAAGGACACACTCCCTTCTTGCAGAGCTTTGAGTGAAAGGAAATCATTGATGCTTCCAGTCATGTGCTTAGAACAACCACTATCCATGTACTATTTTTGGCTGCTTCCTTTCGCTGCTCCCTGCACAAGAGAATCAAGGGTTAGACTTAGGAACCCAAACTTGTTTGGGTCCCTTGTAATGAGGAAAAGGGCAAATTAGACTTCTTCTTGTCCAGGCAGGCAATATACATTTTTTAACGGAGGGACCAGGTTCCTTAGCAGTGGTTACCTTTTCAACAAAAAATTTATTTTTCTGTTGGGACTGAATCTAGCTTTACAGGTTTCTTTAAAATGCCCGGTGTTACCACAGTGAGTGCAGAGCCAATTGTCAGGTACCATAACGTACTTGCTATGAGGGTTGTAGGGAGTTTTTTCCTTTTGGAACCCGATTCCCTGCATGTTTTCCCCATTGTTTGTGTACATGGCAGTGATAGCATCAGAGAACCACGTCCACTTAAGAGATTTTTCTAGGTCATTCTTCACTTTGCCTAGATCTTCCTGAAGTTGTCTGTTTTTCTTAAGCTCATCACACAAACTAGATTTCACTGATTTTAGCTCATTTTCAAGCCTAAGGTGTGCCTCACTTGCAACTTTCTTTCCCTTCTGAGTGTTCATAGGCCTACTTTCCCTTTTGAGTTCCTCAATTGTTTCCTTTAGGTCTACAACCACTACAACAAATTTAGCCTAAGGCCACACCAATTATAGACAACACTTGGAAAACGTTGCTGAGAGTATCTTTGGCAACATTTTTTAAGGGGTGGCCATTGTCTAGCACTTTTGGCTACGGATTTTAGGCAAACCTTAAAAAGTATTCCTTTTAAGTGTAAAGACTACGCTTTTCAACTGCTGCCAAATCATAAATTAATTAACCACGCTTATTCACATGTAATGCAACACTTTTAGGCGTGCTTGTTTATATTAATAAAAGCAACTCTCTGTATTTGGCCGAATTATTTTGCCCTAAAATATCCCGCTCTTTCCAGGTTTTACCACCTCTACAATAGATCCCATCCTCCCTCTTCTCTAAAATTTGGCTCTTCTTGTAACTAGGAAGCAAATTAGTGTGGGTTTTGTGGAAATCTCTGATGGAGGCGCTACATCTCATCTAGTCTCTCTTCTAAAAAGTCAAAGCTCTCTTTTCGTCTGGGTTCTGCGGCCATCAGTTGCAATTGGGAATTTTGATTTTTGGGCTTACAGTCGTTGTTGATCTTCATTTTTCGAAAGCTTGTGTAAGATTTCTATGAAAGTTTTGGTGTCAGTTTAATAACTTTGCGATTTGGCTTCTCTGAAATTCTACAATTTCTTTTTTTTGTTTAATGGCTTCTTCGAAATTTCTCTGAAATTCATTTGCTTATTTAGTTGAGAGCTTTGCGATTTGTTTAGTTAAAGGTTTGCGCAGAATCCTTTGATAATCTTATTTCGGAAATATATATAAGGTTTTTTGTGATGAAAAAAACTCACGGAATACATCAAAAGTCATGATTTAGAGAGCCTTCTTACCATGCAACTCTCTATTCCATTAGTTTTTCTTCAGTTGCATTAGAATGTGGGGGGTGCAAATACTATTAAGTACATAATCTTGGCGTGCATATCCTTTACTTAGTGATGTGCACTTTTGTTCCATAATATATATAAGCTACTTTAGGAACTAATTGTGTATTGAGTTGTAATAATCTAAATGTGTAATGAAAGCCTCAACTCTAAATTGAGTAGTATAGTTCGTTAGTATTTCCACAGGAACATGCTTTCTTCTTTGGTTCTTATGTGATAGTGGCTCCAAAATTTGTGGAGTGTATTTAATTTGCTTCTGTCATTTTCCAAATTGCTTCTACAATACCATGCCGATGGAGTTTATGATCATATTTTGAGTTATTTGGGAGTTAGGGACAAAATCATAAATTCAAATACTTTACTAATTCTTAATATTCAAACACCCTTTTTATCGCATGCCATTCCAATTCACGCCTGTACTTTAAAATCTTGCTAAACCAAGGTGAAAGCTTAATGTTTTGTTACTTTAATAACCTATAGTACAGTATAACGTTTTCAAGATTTTGATGTCATGATCATTTTCACGACCTAAATATTTTACTTTCATTTTTTAATATTTCACTTGCGTATCTAGTTTAATGCCTGGTAAAGAATAAACTTTGTGCCTCGAAAATTTGATTGTAAAAAACTGTTGAAAAGAATAATATTGTTTCCATTTTACTGCTTGGTTTATGTAGCAAATATCTTTGGTGAGGCGAACAAAGCTTTCATTTTCAGGTATAATCTTCCATCTCAGTTATTTCAGTTTCTTTGTAATACTTCAACTATTTAATTACATCTTCCTAACATTGCTAATATATGATTCCATCAGTTTCTTTAAGATTGCTAGGTGAAGTCGGGTGTTCTCTCTAGTAATGGCAGAATTCTTGAGAAAATTGACAAGACGCCAGTCACTATTGCAGATTTTGGAGTGCATGCTTAAGTTAAAAATATTTGTGTCATAATTTTGAACAAGCTAAACTCCTGCCCTACAAGCTTTTAGTAGAAGACAATTTGTTTAATTGTTACGAACTTAATGATTGTCCTAAGTTTCAGACTATTCTTTGTTAAATTGTTTTTTCCCTATTGCCATCTTGGTTCTTTGATGTATGTTCAATAATATTTTTTTACTTTATTTAGTATTGAATTCTAGGTTGTTGGTTCTACATCCACGTACAGAAGAAATGGATATTGGTAAATTTAGTCGAGAGCACAAAGCAGAGAAATGTACTCTACGTTAGGTAAGCAATATATGCTTCTATCCTGTCATACGATTGTCTAAAGCATATCGGATTCGGAAAGCAATATCTTTTTTTATTCTAGCCAGTAGAATTATGAAATATATACTACTGTTGAACCTAAAATTGAGATTTTACTAAATAGTTATTTTCTTAAAAATCAGTGCTCCATCATAACACCTGTTCAACTTCATTATGATGTTGTATGTTTCATACTGTATGAAATTATGCTCCTTTCTTGTGATTACCATATTCATAATGTAGTGTATGAGGTATTTGATAATGATTGGAGTCATTATTATTGTGCGGTTAAACTAGGTAATTTGTAGTTTAGATTCTTCTTAATGAAAGTGCACGATAAAAAGTTTAAGGTGGAGACTTCAAGAAAAGTAATTATGTTTATTTTCTACAGTTTATGCTTACTTGACCAAATGCATGAATATTATACATATTAAACTAAGACATAATAGAAATTGCTGGACCATTTATGTGTAAGAAATTGATTTATAACTTTAGCTTTCCTCAACAGAAGCTAGAACTGCATACTAATTCGTTTTGGTCTTCACATGACTTTAAAGATCATAAATGAATGGAGAATTTGCCTGAACTAAAGGAACAAATTCAGTTTATGATAAGGGAAAAAAGATGGAATGATGCTTAAGCCTTATATTTATAGCAGACATCTATTCATTGAATACTGCTTGGTACTTAAATTTCCAAGGGGCAAACTCTGCCACATTGCTTTGAGTTTGCACTTACATACTAATGAATTCTATCTAATTATTAATTTTATTTTGATTCTGTAGGAAATTCTGGTGAGCAATTGGAAATGGTGGCCAAAAGACAATTTGATGAAGACTTTGGACAATTTTGATTTTTGTTATTTCTGATACTATAGTGATACATTTGCTTTTGTAAAGTTAATTTCTAGCATGCACCTTGAAATATTTGCATTTTTTGTTGATGTATTATACGAGATTTATTCCCGTTTTGAAGTTCATTGCAAGTATATGCATTTGAACTATTCTTTTATTATCTTCTATTTAATTGAGTGCTTGAGATCTCTCTACTTAAATGTGATTATAGGATATATACAAAAATTAATTTGTTGACCACAAAACCATGGCTTCTATAATAATAAAATATGTTTTATAGCTTATACAAGCGTGACTGTACGGATTAGCAAATTTGTGGACGATATAGCAGCATAGCAAAGGCTATACTTTACATTTGTTGCCTAAGGAGTAACAATGGCTACGCTTTTAAGGTGTTGGGGGTCGTACATGAAAATTGTTACCATAGAGGGAGTAACAAGCGTTGCCTTTGTTACTCTTTAGGCTACACTTTTCAAGCGTGGATCCTACAGCAACCCTGTAAAGTGTTGCCTTAGGTCAAAGGTTACGCTCATTTAGGCCACCCCTTGAAAAGCGTTGCTTTAGGTTGAAAAGTGTGGCCTTTGAGCAAAAGCCACACTTTTTGATAGTTTAGGGAACACTTTTCAGATGTGGTTAAAGGCGTAAAATGTTGTAGTGAACTACTACTAATAGGTCATCTCTCTCGTGCTCTATGTTTGCACTTCTCATAGTCAAAATATCCTTTTCCCTTTTTAAACTCTCATTGGTCTCTCTTAGATCAACCGCAACCACCACTAGATCATCTCTCTCGTGTTCTATTTTTCCTAGTTCCGTGGTTAGCGCATTTTTATCATTAATGAGACTGTGATAAGCATCAATTAAAACATTAGCCAAAAATATAAGCTTCTTTTGAGATAGGATTTCAAATTTCTTTGAACATCTAGAAAGTTTACCTCATCTTCTTCGCCATCTTCCTCATCCTCATCTGATTTAGCCATTAGAACAAATATGGAGTCATATTCAGCTGCTTTACTTTCTACTGCCATCATGGAGATGTCGCCTTGATCATCATCATCTCCAGATTCGCTGGAGGAGTCTCCCCATGCAGCAAGAGCTTGTTTCACAACATTGTCAGCGACATCTTTTCTCTTGAACTTTTTGTCAGGAACCCGGTTCCTTTTCCCTCCTTTGTCTGTATTGTGCTTGTACTGGTCTTGCTTAAGGAGAGGGCAGTCCTTGATGAAGTGTCCTGACTTCCCGCATTTATGACATAGGTCATACCCTCTTGTCTTGCTTGAACTGCCCCTCTTTGTCAACCATTTTCTGCGAACCATTTTCTGAAATCTCTTTGTCAGGTAAGCCATATCAGCATCTTCACCACCTGAATCATTGTTGTCCGTCTTGAGGACCAGGTTCTTCTCCTTTTTGGGCTCCGGCTCCGGCTCCTCCTCCTCCTCNGGCGTTTACCTTGCTTTCCCAGGAACCAGGTAATACACCAAGTATTTTTCTGACAAGTTTGTTCTTAGGAATGATTTCTCCCAGTGAGTGAAGCTCATTGATGATAGAGGTGAAGCAAGTGTGCATGTCCTGAATGGACTCGTCGTCCTTCATTCTGAAGAGCTCATACTCAGTTGTCAACATGTCAATCTTCGAATGTTTGACTTGAGTTGTCCCTTCATGTGCTGTTTGAAGAGCTCCCCAGATCTCTTTAGCACTCTGACAAGCTGAGATGCGGTTGTATTTGTCTGGTCTGATGCCACACACAAGAATCTTTTTTGCCCTGAAATTCTTCTCAATAGGCCTTTCTGTCACCATCGTTGTACTCTTATCTCGTTTTTGGGACTGTAGTTGTTCCCTCATCAACATTTTTCATGGGAACAAAAGGTCCGTCACAGATTACATCCCACAATTCTGAGTCCTCAGCCATGATGAAATCATGCATTCTTGTTTTCCACCAACCATAGTATTGACCGTTGAATCTAGGTGGTCTGTACGTTGATTGTCCTTCCTCGAAGTTTGGTGGAGCAGCCATGAGGATCCTTTCTAGGTGTTAGCCTGATAGAAAGAACCCGCTCTAATACCAATTGATAGAATTTAAGTGTCCACCAAACTGTATAGAGAACCAGGTTCTCTATAAGTTCCTACAGATATAAGTTCCCACAAAAACCACGCACACTGCATTAAGTAAATGACAAGAGAAATTTTACGTGAAAAATTCACAGCTCAACGGGATTAAAAACCACGACCTACCCTTGTAGGATTTCAACTTCACTACTGAGCAAACTTTAGATTACAACCTATTGTAACATAGGAATTAACCTCTTAATCCCTCACTAACTTGTAATAACTCTATTACAAGCCACTTTGTAATAACTCTATTACAAAGACTTTACAACTCGACTAACTCTAGCCAAGACACAAACACAAGGATTTATGATTTACAAAGGTTTCCTACACAATGCTTCTAACTAAGCTAAGTAGAAATTATAAGTAAAGAACTTTAACAAAGGTGCAACACAACTAAGGACATGTAATGACTTAATACATGAAACTGGTCCTTCGTTATGTTGTTCTTTGTTCTTGAAGCCCTTGAGAATCACTTGCAAGATTGGCACAGACTTGAGAGGAAAATGCTTGATCGATTCTTGAATGTGCAAGTGTTTTGTTTTACCTTTGCTTGATGTAAATAACTCATTTGTGACATCACTTGAATGATGTAGGCAAGTTAGGTAAAGGGCATTCCCCATAATGTTGACTGCTGCACTATTTTTGCACTGTTGCGTGTGCAGGCAGCAACTTTACAGCTGTGGGGAGTTGACTTCTACAGTCACCACGGGAACTGGTGGCCATCTGTTCCCTCTGTTGTTCCTTTGACTCTGAAGAGTTGAACCACGTCCCCGAACTGAGACTTGTTGTTTTTTAAGTACTTGAGGATGTGTAACAGGTTCCTTATCTGGTTCTTATCAATAAGTTTGTTAGATCATCAAAACATAACATGGATACATATAACCTATCAATGTAGCTTGACGAGAGAATATATCATATAGCTAGCTTAAAACAGGGTATTGATTCTATAACTAGTTACTACACAAAAATGAGTGACTTGTGGAATGAATTGGATGCACTGGTTCCAACCTCTGCTTGTGACTGAGGAATCTAGACCATCCATGGAACTTTTAGCTAATCAGAGATTGTTGCACTTAATGATGGGATTGAATGAAACTTATAGTAATGTAAGGAGCAATCTGTTGTTGAGGAGGCCTGTTGTCACTGTAAATGAGGCTTATGCAATAGTGACACATGAGGAAAGCCAGAGATCATTAGGAGTTACAGATACAAACACGGATCCTTTGACTATGATGGCAAGAAGACGTCAGGTCTTCAAGCCAAAGAAGATTGGCCTAATTTGTGACCACTCTGGTTATAAAGGACATTTGAAAGAAAACTGTTACAAGATCATCTGATATCCAACAGATTTTAAAAGTAAGAAGAAGTTTCCGAGTGGAGGAACTAGACCTTATGCGAATGCTGCAAGTTCTGAAGAAGCAGCAGGGTCTGGAAATCCATTTCAAACTCATGTGCTAACAGAAGAACAATACAACTAGTTGGTAGGCCTCTTGAACAAGCCGACAACAGGAGATTGTTCATCAAACACGACAGGTATAGCCTCTCTACTTTGCAGTCCATCAATAGAAGAATGGATAGTGGATTCAGGAGCCACACATCACATTACTCATAATAAGGAAATATTAAGCAATGTTAGAAGCATGAAAGGACAAGAACATAGTGGTGTGCAGTTGCCAACAGGGGTTAGAGCAGAGATAAAACATGCAGGAAGTGCAGTGGTTTTAGGAAACAAAAATGTGGAAAATGTTCTACATGTACCTGACTTTAAATTCAATTTATTGTCAGTGTCAAAACTTACCAAGGAACTCAGATGTTCAGTTAACTTTTACCCTGATTTCTGCTTGTTTCATGAGCTTTACAGTGGCAAGGTACTGGGGATTGGTAGAGAATCGGAAGGCCTATACTTGCTAAAGGGGAGAGCAGTAATGTTGGCAGGAACAACCTTGAAAGAAAAATCAGATAGCATACTATGGCACCACAGACTGGGGCATGCCTCTTTGAAGACTATACGACACTTACCTACACTGCAAAATAAAGTCAGTAACACTGACATTGAGGACTGTGACATATGTCCTCTAGCTAAACAATGCAGACTTCAGTTTCCTATTAGCAATACAAAGTCAACTAGCATTTTCAAGCTTGTGCACTTAGATGTTTGGGGGCCTTACAAAGTGCCCACATATGATAAAAGGCAGTACTTTGCTACTATAGTAGATGATTTTAGCAGGTATACATGGGTGTGTTTGATAAATTCTAAGTGTGAAGTTGTAGTTGTACTGAAAAACTTCATTTCAATAGTAAAGAATCAATTTGCTGTATTTGTAAAGTGTTTGAGGTCTGATAATGGAAAAGAATTCTTTAATTCTAAATGCAATGAATTGTTTACTTCACTTGGGATTGTGCATCAAAGTAGTTGTGCCTATACTCCACAACAGAATAGAGTTGTGGAGAGAAAATATAGATATATCCTTGAAATGGCCAGGGCTTTAAAATTTCAGAGTGGAGTGCCTACTAGATTCTGGGGTGAATGTGTGAGAACTGCAGTATATATGATAAATAGGTTACCAACTCCTGTGTTAGAAGGAAAAACTCCATATGAGCTGCTTTACAACAAACAAGCCAGTGTAGAACATCTGAAGGTGTTTGGTTGTTTGGGGTATGCAAGTAGATTGCCAAGGGGAGATAAGTTTGCTCCTAGAGCAAAAAGAACTGTATTTCTTGGGTATTCTGATACTCAAAGGGGATATAGGCTCTATGACTTGGAAAGTAGAACCTTCCTTGTCAGTAGAGATGTTGTTTTTAAAGAATACATATTTCCATTCAAGAACCTTTCAGGTACTGAAGAGGATATGCTCACCCACATCACAGTTGAGACTCAACCACTCTTGCAGGATACTGTCCTTACTCAAAATCCAGTCTCATTACAACAGGAATTGCCACCAGTTGATCCTCCCAATTCCGAGACAGATCATGTTATCATGCATCCTTCAGTTGACAATTCAACCACTGATGCTAATGGCACTGAAAGGGAGTTACATGAAGTAGTTCCAGCAGGCTCCTCTTCGGAGTTGGAGGCCACTGAGAATGCAGAACAATCTACACCAGCAGTTTCTGAGCCTGAAGCCATACAATCTGAAGAGCCTTCATCCATACCTATCTCAGAGCCTTCATCCATACCTGTGAGACCACAAAGAACTCATGCACCTCCAATTTGGATGAGAGACTATGTCACTGCCACCAATTCTTCTAAGGGTAGTAAATATCCCATATCCTCTCATATTGCATATTCTCACCTGTCACCAAACTACCAGTCATATCTAGGTGCTTTCTCTGTTTTGACTGAACCAAAGACCTTCAAAGAAGCAGCTCAGCAGAAGCAATGGGTAAAGGCAATGCAACAGGAGATTCAGGCTCTTGAAGACAACTCAACCTGGGCAGTAGTTGATTTGCCTCCTGGTAAGAAGCCAATTGGTTCAAAATGGGTCTACAAGATCAAGTATAAAGCCAATGGTGAAGTGGACAAGTTTAAAGCAAGACTAGTGGCAAAAGGCTATACTCAACAAGAAGGATTGGACTATCATGAGACCTTCTCTCCGGTGGCTAAAATGGTTACTATGCGCACTGTTATTAGTGTAGCTGCTTCTAAGGGTTGACATCTATTTCAAATGGATGTCAATAATGCTTTCCTTCAGGGAGATCGGACTCAAGAGGTGTACATGGATCTACCCCAGGGATTTCAAAGGCAAGGGGAATATAAGGTGTGTAGGCTTTTGAAATCCCTCTATGGCCTAAAGCAGGCATCCAGACAGTGGAATATCAAGTTAACCACTGCCTTATTAGAAGATGGTTATGCACAGAGTGCACATGAGCACTCTTTGTTTACCAAGAGATATGCAGAAGACATTGTAATAATCCTCATCTATGTAGATGATCTACTGATTATAGGTATCTCACAGTCATTGATAAATGAAGCCAAAAACACCTTGCACAGTTGCTTTAAGGTCAAGGACCTGGGGGAGCTTAGATAATTTTTTGGGAATTGGAGTCATGAGATTAGAAGAAGGTGTTCTATTGAATCAGAGAAAATATGCATTGAAGTTAATTGCTGATGCAGGATTGAGTGGATGCAAACATGTTGCTACACCAATGGAGCTGAATCATAAGCTTACTACAGTAGATTAGGATAATCATGTTGGGAAAACAAATGATGCACAACTGGAAGAAGTAGGAACTTATCAGAGGCTGGTTGGAAAATTGCTATACCTGACCATTACAAGACCTGATATATGCTTTGCAGTACAGGTCTTAAGTCAATTTATGCATCATCCCAAAAGGTCTCATATGGATGCAGCCCTAAGAGTAATCAGATACATCAAAGGGGCACCAGGTCTAGGGATACTACTAAGGAAAGGGCAGACGCAAGTACTTACAGGTTTCTGTGACTCAGATTGGGCATCTTGCCCCAACACCAGGAGGTCTGTGACAGGGTATGTGATCAAGCTGGGAGGTTCTTTATTGTCCTGGAAGTCAAAGAAACAACAGACTATCAGTAGAAGCTCAGTAGAAGCAGAGTATAGAAGTACGGCAGCTGCAGTGGCAGAGATTATCTGGATGGTTGGTTTACTAGAGGAACTAGGAAATAAAGTACAAACACCAGTAAGTTTGCACTGTGACAGCAAGGCAGCTATGCAAATAGCTGCAAATCCCATATTTCATGAAAGGACTAAACATATAGAGATAGACTGTCATTTTGTGAGGGAAAAACTAAAGAGTGGATTGATCACACCACAGTACATTCCCACCAAAATGCAACTGGAAGACCTTATGACTAAAGGGCTGGGGACAGCACAACACCAATCACTTTTGTCCAAGCTGGGAGTGTTAGATGTTTTCCACTCTCCAGCTTGAAGGGGAGTATTAAAGAGAAGGGGCTATAGGAACCTACAAGAAACTAGAAGGGAGTAGTTTGTAAATAAGAGAAATTACAGAACTTGTAATTTTATATAAAGAGATCACACGGATCTCATTTCAAAGATTATAACAGAATAAACAGAAAATTGTCTAGAATCTTCTCTCTCTTCTCTCTCTTCTCTCTTGTTCTCTCTTCCTTTCTCTCCTCGATTTCACTGTTTTATTGTCGATGATTCATTGCATGTATGAATTGTTGCTGTAGCCAGCTCAATCTAGCTCAGTTAACACAATTATTCTTTTTCTTAAGTCATCAAAACTTTTCCTCATGCATAGATTCTAGAATAGTCAGAAAACAACATCAAGCGCTGCAACTTGAACTCTTGACCTTGACACAAGGCAAAAGAAGTAGAAGAAAAGCAAAGAAATTTCTTTTACTGGTACTCGAGTTAAATATTTCCACTATTTTACAACTGCAATATCTGTTTAAAGAGAGACATTTATTGCATGTTTATAGAGATATTAGTTAGACACATAATCCTCTCTACTTTCATCTTTAAGATATCATTCTTTGACTCGAATTGCAGTGCATAATCAAATGTTAGAAGCATTATACCATTAAACATTTTGCACGAGCTACCAGAACTATGCAAAGTAATGCAACTAACACCAGTAGGTGCTTAGCAAACATGAAACAGGTTTTGTATCACTTATTGGCACAAGAAAATTGAAATATTACCTTCTACATGATATTGTATAAACTCTGGTGCAAGGGCTCAGAATCCTTCAAGTTGAAACTCTAAACTAGATAAGCACACTAACAATACACAAATACTAGGAACGTCTCACTAATTTCTTGTTCTTGCTTAACAACAACTTGGCATCAAAACTTGCTCTTTTCCATACACAAACACCTTATATCTCGAGGAAGCTTTTCGCCTTCATGGAGGTTATCTGATAACCAGGTGGATCCATTGACAACATATGGGAGATGAAGTGCATTGTTGGCCTTGATTTTGGAGTTTCCAGTAAACAAGAGCTCGCTAGCTTGATGATAAAAACCAAAACCTCTTTTACTTCATCTTCAGGATTTGGAAGACGTTCATCAAGCAAATCGCTAAGCTGCACATGATCTCTAGTCGATGAATTTGCTAGCAGAGAAATGAATTCCCCAAGATGCTTTCCCTTGATTATCTCCAATGCTAATACTCCAAAGCTATAGACATCACACATTTCTGTAACCTTCATTGTGTAGGCAAGCTCTGAAAAAATACAGTTCCCAAAGAAGTATTAACTACTTAAACGTGTAAATGAGATAAAAACAGTAGAGAGTTCCCCTTGAATTCATGAATTGAGACAAGATAAAGAGGAAAATCTTACCTGGTGCAACGTAGCCATATGTGCCTGCAAGTGCAGTACAATTGGATGATTCTGGATTGAGAAGCTTAGCTATTCCGAAGTCTGAAACACAAGCTTTATACTCAGAATCAAGCAAAATATTATTGCTTGATATGTCTCGATGAACAATTGGTGGCGAGCAATCCTGATGCATGTAAGATAAAGCAAAAGCAACACCTTTGATGATATCCACCCTCTTAAGCCAATCCAATTTCTTGGACTCTACTTGATTGCTCAAGATACTAAACAAACTCCCTCTCTCCACGTACTCGTAAACTAAGAACGAGTGTTTTGCATTAGAACAAAAGCCATAGAGTTTCACAATGTTCCGATGTTTAATCCTTGTCAATGCCCTTACCTCATTCATGAAGCTTTTGAGATGTGTATTCTCAAATGAAGAATGAAGTCTCTTTACAGCTACATTCTCAAATGATGGAAGCTTTGCCTTGTAAACGCTTCCGGACCCTCCTTTCCCGATGCAAAACACTGCATCAAACTCTTTTGTGGCTTTTAAGATATCCCAGTACAGTGCACTTCCATGTAACGTGGATATCGAGAGCAAACCATTATCTTCATCAACATCAACAACATCACTGGAATCCCGTCTTTCAATGTCTCCAACTCTTCTTCTTTCATCACACATTAGCAGAACACCAATGAAAGTACAGAGAAGTACTAGTGCTCCCATAACAGGAAGTACAGTGACGAGGATGAGTTTACGTCTTGAGTGCTTCTCCACCACAGAAAATGGACTTTCGCAAGGCTGGAATCCTGTTACATTACCACAAAGACCTTTATTGCCTTCTAACGAGGCATTCATAAAAGCTTCATTATTCGGTATTGGACCTTCCAACTCATTGTATGACAATATGACATAACCTGTCAAACTTTTAAATTCTTTAGGAATGCGGCCAGAGAGGTCATTGTGGGAAAGATTTATGATAGCCAAGTTCACCAAATGGGCCAATTGAGGGGGTATTTCTCCATCAAGAAGATTATGGCTCAAATCAAGTACATTAAGGTGAGTTATCCTTCCTATCTCCATCGGAATTTTCTGGCCAAATCTGTTGTTGCTCAGGTTCAAGTGAATCAGCTTCATGTAATCTCCTATAAACATCGGGATTGACCCATTAAATACATTGTCTGACAAATCAAGGGTTTCTAACTTTGTTAGTGACCCAAGTTCCCCAGGTAGACTGCCAGAAATGTGGTTGTTTTGCACAAAGAGATTAATTAGAGAGGTCAATCTTCCAAATTCCTTGGGAATCTGCCCAACCAAATGATTAGATGAAAGATCAAGTCCTGAAAGCCCTTTGACATTTCCAATCTCTGGTGGTATGCTACCACTAATGTTATTTCTGGCTATCTGAAAATTTGTCAAATTCTTGCATTTTCCCCAGTTGTTGCTGAGTTCACCATAAAAATCGTTGTCGCTCAAAATAATGAACTGAAGCTCTGGATAGATACCAAAAGCTTCCGATAAATTCCCAGTGAAACTGTTGTTATCAAAGCGGACCCTTTTGAAACTCGAGCACTTGCTCAAGCTTCTTGGAATTGGCCCCGACAGCTTGTTACTATTCACCGTGAAGTTCTCAAGTTTTCCACCTTGGCAAAGATTCTCAGGCAAATGGCCTGAAAATTGGTTTTCATCCATTTCCAGCACAACCAAGTTATCCAAATAGGCAAGTTCTGGTGGAATGGAACCCGAAAGTTTATTGTCCCGGAGAAACAGAGTTTGCAAGTTTCTCAAATTGCCCAAGGAAGCTGGAATTGACCCAGTAAGTTGATTACCAGATAATTGCAGATCAGTAAGGTTTTTCAAATTCCCCAACTTACTAGGAATGGAACCAGAAAGTTGGTTATTGTAAAGGTGCAAGAGTTGGAGCTCAGTTAAGTCACCTATTGTTTGGGGAATTGGACCAGAAAGATTGTTTTTGTGGAAGCTTAAACTCTGAAGTGACTTCATCTTTCCAATTTCAACAGGAATGGGACCAGATAATTCATTAGAGAAAGCATAGAACACTTTTGCTTTGATCAAGTTACCTATTTCTGGAGGAATATGACCTGTTAACTGGTTTGTATCGAGATAAGCCACAACAAGATTAACGAGTTTCCCTATTGCTGCTGGAATGGAGCCAGAAAGCTTATTCTCATAAAGATACAAAGAAGACAGGTTGTTCAAATTCCCCAATGAAGCAGGAATTGAACCATTAAGAAAGTTGGTATTCAAAGCTAGTTCCGAAAGAGACCTTAGGTGACCTATTACTTCCGGAATGGAACCATTTAATTGGTTGTCAAAGATATGAAGGGTCTCAAGCTTTGTTAGTGACCCGATTTGTAGTGGGATTGTGCCCGAAATGTGGTTGATGGACAAGTCAAGATAAACTAGATTAGTGAGTTTACCTATTTCAGGGGGGATTGTGCCAGAGAGCTGGTTCATGCTAAGATCAACATATTCAAGTAAAGGAAGAAATGAAAATGGAAAATCATAGAGTGTGCCAACAACACTAGCATTTGTAATATTCAACCTGTTGACCCTTCCATTTAAGCATGTAACTCCATACCAGCCCCTGCATGCATCAGAACCTGTCGCTCCGACGCTGGAAGAATTCTTGGAACCAACATGACTTAGTTTCCATGAAGCCAATAAAGTATTATTCTGGTTTTGGAAAGTCGCTTTCCATTTGAGGAGAGCAGTTGCCTCCTCAGTAGAAGCAAAAGAAACTGTGAAGAGATATAAGAGAGTAAAAAACTGAAGGAAAGCAAATATTCTGTGAATCTTCATTATTGCTAAAGGATAAATTTCAGTTGATTGTTTTGGTTATTGATGAACTTTTGGAGGGGTAGAGTTTTATAGTGTAGTGAATCATTACAAGTCTTGCGAGTTTATTTTCTCAGCTTGTGAAATACGGGTAGAACGACTTCAAGTCAATGAGTCAATGTCTCACTATCCATAGAAGTAAAGAACAAGGAAAAAGGAAAGCATTCCAATTGGCCAAGCTTAAAATTTGTGGAAATATAGAGAGATTCTTCTCCAGAACTATTCAAAAGTCTTTTGCATTGACGAACTAATGGACATGCCTGTCAATACTTGTATCATCTTCGTGGGCCACGTAATGTGGAATTATTGCAAGTTTTTCTCGGAAGAAAAGTCACACACAGCAGATCTGCTTACTTGGTCAGAGAATCCACCGGAAAATTCTCCGGCTATGACCTCTGCTGGCCATTCTTCTGAAAAACAAGCATTTTTATAGAAAAGCTAAATTGGAGCAGCCTAGAAGGTAGAGCAAATTTAGAATTTGATGATGGAACAAAATATAGAAAATTTTAACGGTTGAATTAATTTCGAAGAGAATCTAAGCGAAAAGGAAAGTGAATTGAGAGAGTGTCATATACAATTGCTGAAAGCTTCTGAACTGGACTGTAAATAGAATATGCATTATTCCGTTTACCGGACAGCCTGCTGAGACTGGAGCATTGTACAGGGGGGAGGAGGCATCCAATATTTAACTTTGAATTTTGATTTTACTGTTGATGATTTTAGGTTTTGCTCCATAGCCACAGTCGGAGAAATAAGAAACAGTATATTTCAATATCTGCTTAATTCCTTATCATTTGTGATGTAATATTAGACAATATTCACATAGGGAAAAGAAAGTATTATCGTGGTTAAATCACAATAGATGTGCAATTAAACAATTTGTGGTTTCTTAATTATCTGTTAAAATATCTATTGACAAATTATACTTCAATTAGCTTTTACGGATGCTCTGTGCTGAAAAAATGCATAAAGTATCCAAGTTGAAAAAATGCAAGATTCCTAAGATTTGTTCTAATGAGCTTAAGCTTGCTCAAGATTCTTTTGGGTAAAATCCAGAAACTTCTACTTTAAATTGGTCCTTCAATTTACTTTCTTGATTTGCTATAACAGAAATATCCCAAGATAATTTAGGGGCAAAAGGATGGCTAGCCAAAGTGGTAAATCCTGGTCCTGTATTAAGAATTTAAGACGATGACGCTTAGCATGCACATAAATTATTTGTTTTGCTGCTTAGTCTATTCCAAATTATATGACATATTTATAAATTTAGAAATAATTTAATTTTATTACTTATTTTACCTTTAATGAGAAGCTTTTATAACTATACAATATCATAGTCTCACAAAGCTTTTACCCCTTAAGCTTTAAAGACCACAAATTTCAAAAATCTTTTTTTTTCTTAAACTCCGTACCGAATCAAACTAACTCATCTAAATTGAAACAAATAGAGTATCTTTTAAGAAAATTATGGTCAACGTTTTTGACATTCCAAATGCGAAATCATCATACGAACATATTGGAACCTTCAAATCCCGATTCCGAGGTCATTTACTCAAAAGTCAAACCTTAGTGAATTCTTCCAACTTAAAGCTTCCAAAATTAAAATTTTCTTTCCAAATCAACTCCGAACTTCCCGAAATTCAATTCCGACCACACGTACAAGTCATAATACATGATGTCACGACCCAAAATTCACGATAGGTCGCTATGGCGCCTAACACAGCCGTCAGGCAAGCCAATAGTGATTGATCAATTTAATTACTCATTTTATTACTTTGAAATCATAATTTTCATTACTTAAATAGTATAAAATAGAATATGCAGGGGTAAAATATTAATAACTATGCGATCTACAATGACAACAACAGTAGGAACCCCCAAAACCCAGTTCACAAGTGCATGAGCATCAACTAGGAAATACAATAAAATACAACATCTGTCTAGAATACAAATTAGACATGAAAATATAAATAATTCTTATAGAGACTCTGTAGGCTACAGAGCGTAACATGGAATGCAGCTCACGGTAAAGTCCCCGCAATAGCCGCACCGTTGCGCCCAAAAGGCCATCAGACGTAAATGTACCTGCACAAAAAGTGCAGCAAGTGTAGCATGAGTACGTAAATCAATGCATACCCAGTAAGTATCTAGCCTAACCCCAGAGAAGTAATGACGAAGGGTTGACATCAACACTTACTAGTGGTCCAATAAGACAGATATAGTAGAAGTAAACAGGTGTGAGTCAGAGTGAATAAGCGAAATAACAAGTATAATACGTGGTGCAATCCTCCTCTCAGCAATAACTCAAACTCTCAGCTAGTAGTTATCTCCTCAATCGGCGTATATATATNAATTATTACGCACGATTTCATAAGAGTATTTTATATAAATGTCGAGGCGTATGGCCCGATCCATCGTAACATTTCCGAACCATAGATACATCTATTTTATTGCCGAGGCAAACGGACCGCTCCTATGAGAGTGTGGTACATAATCTTGTCGTGGCGTACCACCCGATCCACCATAATGTGCGCACTGCCGAGGGTGGAGCGGCACGAACCATAGATGTATCTATCCTGTCGAGGCGAACGACCCGATCTCATTAGAATAAGAAGCTTTGACGGGTCCTTGACCAGACTCACGAATAGACGTGTGAGTAATAAATTTTAAGGGAAACCTTTAGATAAGAACGCATAACGCGGAAGAAATTCGTAAGAGAAGTATAATTATTTCTCGGCTAATCATGAAGCCCGTCAAATCTCTACAAAGCAAGTCTATCACTCTACACAAGTCTAGTTTCAAGTCGCAACGTAAAATAAAGGAATTTAATAGGGAAAAGACAACTCAAATAGTACAATTATACCAGGGCGGGAACCTAAATCTACCCGGACATAACATGAATCTAGTTACATACGGACTCTCATCACCTTGTGCGTATGTAGCCCCCACAACAAGTAACACATAACAAACATATCACCTAGGGGTAGTTTTCCCCTCACCGAGTTGGACATGAGACTTACCTCGCTCTGAAGTTCCACAACCGGCTCCAAAGCCTCTCTAACACCTCAAACTGATGCCAGTCGATCCAAAACTAGTCAAACAAGGTGCAAGCCGATCAAAATACTCTCTAACGCCCAAAATTAATCAATTTAAATAATTTCTAACTCCGCTTGAAAAGTCGAAAAGTCACCCTCGGGCCCACGTGCCCGGATTCCGAAAATTTTCTAAGATAAACCTTACCCATAACATTTCTAACTCAAATATATAATCTATTCTTAATTCCATTTCCAAAATCGTGGTCAAAATCTAAAAATTATCAATTCTAGGTTTTCCACCAAAATCCCATAATTTTTCTAAATTTTCCTCCTTAAATCCAACTATAAACCTTAAATTAAGCTCACAACAAGTGAAAAATTACTTACTTTGTGTTACATGATGAAAACTCCTCAAAATCACCCAAGATCCGAGCTCCAAAAATTCAAAACGAAATAAGAAAAAAGACCAAGTTCGATCCCATAATAATTTGCCCAGTTTTGCTTTTGCGGGCAAGCACCATCATCGCTTCTGCGAAACCCCCTGCCCAGTCGCACGCTCGCACATGTGAAAATAATTCCGCTCCTGCGCCATCACTGGTGCGAGTCTCCTTTGCGCATCTGCGAATCCAGCCGCTTCTGCGATGGAGATTTCCGCTTCTACGAGTCCGCATTTGTACCTTTCTCCGCTTCTGTGCATCTTCATCCCAGGCCTCATTCCGCTTCTGCACTCCTGCGCCCGCTTCTGCGCTCCTGCGCCCGCATCTGTGCACCTGCAGGTGCGGTAAACTCCTCACACCTGCGTCTCCAGCAAACCTTAAGACCAACCGCTTCTACGACACCAGGGCCGCTTCTGCGGTCTCGCACTTACGGCCATTTGCACGCAGGTGCGCTTGCACCAGATCCCAGCTGCCTCAGCATTTCTCCCAAGTCCAAACTCGATTCGTTTCCACTCCGATTCGCACCCGAGGCCCCCGGGACCCCGTCCAAACATACCAACACATCCCACAACATGATACGGATTTAGTCGAAACCTCAAATCATACCAAACAAAATCAAAACTATGAATCGATGATCAAAACCCATCTTTAAACTTTTAAACTTTCAAACTTCGACGAACGCGTCCGATCCATACCAAAATATTCCGGAATGACGCCAAACTTTGCGTACAAGTCATAAATCACAATACGAACCTATTCTAAGGCTCAAAACCTCAAACGGATATCGATAATACCAAAGTCCACTTCAAGCCAAAGTTATGAAATTCTTAAACCTTCGAAAATGTTAATTTTTCATAATAAACGCCGAAATGCTCCCGGGTGATCCGATACTCTACCCGAATATACGCCCAAGTCCGAAATCATCATAAGAACCTATTGGAACCTTCAAATTCCAATTTCGAGGTCGTTTACTGAAAAGTCAAACCTTAGCTAATTCTTCAAACTTAAAGCTTCCGAAATTAGAATTTTCTTTCCAAATCAACTCTGAACTTCCCGAAATTCAATTCCGACCACACGTACAAGTCATAATACCTTAAGTGAAGCTACCCAAGGCCTCAAACTGCCGAACGACGCGCTAGAGCTTGAAACGACCGGTCGGGTCGTTACATCTGAGGTGATACTACTCAAGGCCTCAAACCGCCGAACGACGCGCTAGAGCTCAAAACGATCGGTCGGGTCATTACAGTATTATGCTTTGTTCTTAAAGATCCAAAATGGAAAAGAAAATTAAATGGATGAAAATTAAAAGAACCCTCAATTTAATTGTATACGGCCAGCAACAATCTTCCTCGAAGAGTCATCAAAGGTGATATTTTTTGTTTGAACTTTTGATGTTTATGTTATTTGTTCGATCCTTCGTTTGTTTCATACAGAAATTTTAATTTTAAACCAATTTATCTATAATCACTCCTTTAGGTAGTCATTGAGAGGCACAGTCTATTCATTCCTCAAGAAGGAAGCAATTTGTGTTCCTAAAATAAGTAAACACCGGAAAGGGAAAAAAAAAAAAAGAGAACCTAATCTTTCAAGAAGTAAACTCTACTGCTGAAGAATCTAGTTTAAGTTAAAGTTATAGTAATTATTATGATGTGGTACGTAGCTAGTTGAAATAAGAAAGGATTTAAATAAATGAAATTTATATAAAAGAAAAAATTAAATTCCTAAATATTAGGGATTTATACATAAATGACAATTCCTAAATATTAGAAAATATACTCAAATGACTATTTTGTCTAGTGTAAATTCTATATTTCAAAGGGTAAAAAAGGCGAACGATATTTCGTAAGGGCATTCGTGCTTTTAATATAGTATAGATTAAAACTCTTAACGAAATATGGTTCGCCTTTTATACCCTTTAAGAATATATTTTATATTAGACAAGTGTTAATTTTAGTCATTTTGCTAATATGTAGGAATAGTAATTTACTTATTTTTCTAATATTTAGGGACAATCATTTAATGATTTACCTAATATGTAGGAATAAACATATAATTATTTTCCTAATATTTAAATACAATCATTTAATTATGTGCCTAATATTGAGAACTTTGATATGAAAAATTATAATTATTTATTTCGAGTTCTTTCAATTTTTTTCATATTCTAGGAGTCCTTCACTATCAAATTTGTTTAAAGTTAGAAGTATTTTATAAGTTTACGAATATTGTTTTTTTTTTGTTGTAATTTGTTTTTATAAGAGTCCTTGTTGTCCTTTTCTTTTTCCACTTTTA